TGAATCGCCCAGAGTTCCCCCATTGGAGGGAGATGGGCGGTTGAAAAATTTAATAAATAAATAAATAAATAAATAAATAAATAAACAAACTGCCACTTGTGTTGAAACAATATAACTGAGTGGCACTACCTGCATTAGAAGAGAGCCTTTTGCCATGATCAACAACAGTTTTTGGACCAAATAAAACAATTTATTCAATGAAATAAGATTGCTTGATAGACCAGTAAGATAAAGTTCATCATCATCACTTGAAGTGCATGTGATACATGACAATACCATCAGAGGGCATAAGAGATTTGGATGAAAGGACATTAAGATAACATTAAACAAAATGAGATGCCATAGTATCATAACTTCTCCTTAAAGAATCCCAGAGCATCTCTCCCAGCAAAACAGTTTCCTCAATAAAATTATGTGTGTCCCCTTGCAATTACTGCTATTTAGCCTCTTCACTAGGTTTTTGCAATAATACCTCCTTTTCTAGGAAGTAAACACGAACTCGGCAAATAATAATTGTAAATGTCTGCAAGGGTTAAGATTCATAGGAGACAAAAGAAAGTAAAAAAGTAAGGGAGCTAAATTGGAAGTAATTATAATGAATTCTGGCGTGAAGATAAACGTTGCAGCTGTCTGCTCCAAAGCTCCTTAGAAATAATGTCATTAGCAACTGGGCCTTGCAGCCTCTGATTTCAGGTAACTCAGTGGTTCTCCTTGTATCCATGCAATTCTATTTTAAATTTCAGATATTTGTCTCCACATTCTCTTACTTGAGGCCATCCCTTATTAAAGAAGACAAATGGGCCCAAGATTTAGTACAGGCGTGGCTTATTTCTGTGCCTCTGGTTCCACACCAGCACCCAATTTGCACTAAAGCATAACGCTGTAATAGCATAACTAGCAAAGCCTGCTCTTGTTTATCTTTAGTTACCATCTTGTCTGTCTCTCAACTTCAGTCTGTTTGGTTTTGGTATGCCAGCTTTTCGTATTGCAAAATATACATAATCTTACTGACACTGTATTAGAGTCAGTACTATACCACAGTTGGAGAGCATGCAGTGATTGCATCGGGTTGGAGAGCAAGAGCAAATTCAGATGCTGAAGTAAAAATCTGTCTGAGGGATAATTAATGATTCATCATATGTCTGTTGTTGTTTTTTTTAATCTCATTGCTTTGAGAGTAATAAAATTGCCAGTTTTATTACTCCTTCAGGTTCAAAGCCAGGACTTAGCTGCATTGTCATCTCTCCTTCCCATCTGAAGTCAATGGCACTCCCAAACAACAGTATTACATCGATCTTTTGGTTTATTTTTGGAATGCTATTTTTTATTCCGCTAATGGATGTTGTGTAAATGAAACATCATCTATTTAATAATTTAATGTGATTTAATGGTTTAAAACATGTATATATGTTTTGGAAGGTTGAGTTGCAAATGTATGAGCCATTTATATTTTGATGTTCAACCTCTAATGAATTTTGAATTTATATAACTTTTAACATCTCAGAGCAAATGTTGTGATCCTGCATTGAGCTTTATGTGTGTATTTTTAAAAAATTGTGTGTGTGTGTGTAGAGTACTTGATGAGTTGAGATAATACTATGGTTGTATGATGGCTTTTGTAGGAACTATTAGGGTCTTCAGCAGAAGCCAGTCATATAGCTTCTATATTACAGGGTTTTTCTACTTTACCTATATAGCATTTATATCATAGATTTAATGCAACTGTATCACTTAGCACGTAGCATTGTACTCACTTAACATTAGTGATACTGAATTAAGTGTAGCTTTAGCCAGCTAAGGCCATGCAGCGCTTATCTTCTAAGATGTGTTCTTGTAAACTGTTTCCACACACGACTATTGAACAAGTGCACACTTTTTTGATTGCTTCCCTTATGATTCCTTATGCATTCTTCCCCTTTTGTCTCCTTTAGAAAATTATTGGAGTATTTAAACCCAAATCTGAAGAGCCTTATGGTCACCTAAATCCAAAGTGGACCAAATATTTCCACAAAATCTGTTGCCCTTGCTGTTTTGGCAGAGGCTGCCTTGTTCCTAATCAGGGGTATCTCTCTGAAACTGGTGCCTATCTTGTGGACAGTAAACTAGGATTAGGAGTGGTACCTAAGACAAAGGTAAGAGTGGTTTGCAACACGAATTGAGCATGCAGGAAAGTAATTCTAGTCACAACTGTAAATGTTGAAATAAAAATCTTTAAACTAATTTTCAGACTGGGAGAATAGTTTTGGCTTTTGGAGTTCATTAGGCAGAAGACTGATCTCAGTGGGAATTTGGTGTCTTTTGGAGATGTCAGCACAAGAGGGAAAGTTGGCTTAAGTAACTGGTTTTTGGCCAGGGATCCTTAACTTTTCTGGCTAGTGGGTCCTATTGGAACTTTGTGAACATGTTATGGATACACTGTTACGTTATGGATATGGGGGTGAAGCTGCAGCCCTCCCCCCAGTCATGCAGATTTCCTGATTTCAGGGTGAATCCAGCCACCCATTTTACTCCCATTACGCCCTTTCCTGCCTCCTTTTTGCAATAGCTTGCAAATCTGGAAATTTGAAAACTTGTGAATTTTTTTGGCAATTTTCTGTTGTAATTCCCTGAAACTGGCCTAATAAAAATATTGCTGGAATTTAATAATTACTAGCTTTGGCTTAGCAACTGCAGCAGAGGTCAGCTAGAAACTTCTCTTATTGATGGCTATACATTTACAATCCGTGCTAAGCACTAATTTAAAAGGCATCCTTTAAGTTTACGTAACTGCCACAAACAGTTAAAAATGACCACTTTACCAAACTGATACATGCCTCTTAGCTCCTCCTCCAGGATGCTCCCTCATATTCTGGTTTACTCATTTGCTGAATGTAGCTCATTCAAGAAGAGCATGAAATCACTAAGGAGCCTTAGTTGACTGTCCTCTGACCATTTGGGGATGTAGCAGAGGAAGATGAACATTTTGATCCTTGATCTTTTAGAAGGGATAGAGACAAAATGTAGCTTAATAAAGAGGTAGGTAGGTATAGTGAGTACAGTATCATAGTTAAAAATGTTAAATGTTATTCTGCTCTCTATGTTCTAAGGTTGTCTGGATTGTTAGCGAGACATTCAACTACAGTGCAATAGATCGTGCAAAATCAAGAGGCAAAAAATACGCTTTAGAAAAAGTGCCAAAAGTTGGCAAAAAATTTCATCGAATTGGACTACCTCCTAAGGTAAACCCTTGGCAGTCCTGAAAATGTTTGGGGATTTGTTCTTTCCTTCTACTCCTGCCTTGGGATAATTTTTAAATAATGAAGAACGGGTGGTTGTATAAATAAGAAGGAAAAGTTTAAATTCTAATGTAACACTAAAATACTGTAAGGGTTGTATTTTCCACAACGGAACTCTGAAGCTAGAAGAGTGTATTTCCTTAACAGAGTGTATTTATTTAATTAAAAAATTCAAGAAAACATGGACAAAATTCAGTCCTGTTTGTTAGAAGCCATGGTACTAATTCCCCATGCCCCAGAGAACTTTCAGATTAAAAATACTTTTGAAACTGAAGGCATTCTCAAACAAACTGTAATCTGATACTTAAAAGTGGAATCTGCTTTTTCAATATTTTTTTTTTATATTGATTAAGCTCATGGCTATACTTATAAAGGGCATTTGCTTTAATGTCTTTATTTGCTTTCACGTATAAAGAACATTTTAGATGCTTTATACATTCAGGTCTGTTCATAAATGCAGGATTGGTTTTAAATTGCAGGTTGGCTCCTTTCAGCTTTTCGTTGAAGGTTACAAAGAGGCTGACTATTGGCTCAGGAAATTTGAAACAGATCCCTTGCCTGAGAATACAAGGAAGCAGTTTCAGTCACAGTTTGAAAAGCTGGTTGTGCTTGATTATGTTATCAGAAATACTGGTATTTAATCGTTTTTCATTCTTCTCATCTATTATGACAGTATTATTCTTGAATTCTTATCAGATTCAAGCAGAGGAAGATGGGCTAAAAATTCCCATGTTCTTTGAGGCTTAGACAGTATGCATGAATTACCACTGCATTTAGGAGGAAAACCATGTGAGATTAATACTCTTGGTACACTGCTGCTTGGCTAGTATGATTCTAGTTTTTATCTTGGTTCTTAAGATGATAGAAAGGAGTGGAAATATTTACTATTTTGTGATTTTCAGATCTTTCTATATGGAAAGAAGAAGCTGATGCTGCTGACCTAAATAATGAACACTATATCAAACATAATATATCATGAATAAGTGCTGTCTTGATCAGGATCCTGTTAATTTTAATTGTTTTTAAATTATAATGTTTTAATTGGCCCATATGGTAGAATAGCTCTTTTGTTTATTGCTATTTTCTGTATTTATTTTCAAAGAATTTAAAGAATAAAGAAAACAATGACAATAGTTTATCTGCTGGTTCATGATATGATGTTACAGGCTGCTCCTTTTTTCTTCTCATAGATAATTCAGGATAAAAACAATTTCTGAAAACTCCCCTGCCTTTAGTTCTGATGACACATGGAACCAGTTTATCCCTTCTTCACATTCTTAGCAGAAAGGCAGAACAACCTTCCTATATTAGAAATAAACATGTGACCTATCCTGTAAAACGGGATGATATTGTACCTTTCTTCTTCAGACAAGAGTGACTGGCAGGATACGATGCCTTAGGAGAGTTTATAAGCTACAGGGTTCCAACAGGGCAACAGTGGGCATCACTGTGTCTACCAAAATCTCCCTTGGTAGCGACTCACTTGATTTTTTTATTTTTATTCATTTACACACACACACACACACACACACACACACACATAGTGCCTTTGAGTCATTGTTGACTCCTGGCGACTGCCTGGACAAGTCCCTGCAGTTTTCTTGGCAAGATTTCGGAAGTGGTTTGCCATTCCCATTGCCTCCTTTCTAGGGCTGAGAGAGAGTGACAGGCCCAAGGTCACACAACTGGCTTTGTGCCTAAGGCAGGACTAGAACTCACAATCTCACAGTTTCTAGCCTGTTGCCTTAACCACTACGCCAAACTGGCTCTTGTCACCTGATTTTAAAATGTTTAAAAATCATTTAATTAAACCAAAGCTAAATGTGAAGCTAGGAGACTGCAAATCCCCATCCTCACACATCACAGATCTCAAAAGCATTCTTTGAAAATAAAATTGGGTAGGTGGCTCACCCTTGAGATTGTGCCCAACTGCTCGATACAAAGACAAAGGCAAACACTCTACAGAATATTCTGGGAACTAGTGGGATTTGGGGGCGCGATTTCACTAGTTTGCCTTCTGATGAATGGGTGTTTTATGACTGGCTCTGCCCACCAGAGCAGCCCATAACATGCTCACAAAATTCCATAAGCCCAAAAAGACAGAGGATCGCTGATGTAAACATATAGAATAGCTTGTGTTTTATCTCAAAATACGTAGAGAATCATGCACAGGTCATTTTCTGATCAATATTATTTCATAAAAGAACCCAGAAATATACTCCTTCTGCAATTTATGTTTAAATAACAGGCCCAGATCTTTAAACATGTTGAAAGCTAAAATAGCTTATACTGTATTTCATTACTGTGGCAGACTTACTGCAGTACCTTTGCATTTCATTTAATTGTGATTCTCCCTAATTTCTTTGAAGACAGAGGCAACGATAATTGGTTAGTCAAATATGAAAAGCCGAGCGATGGGACTGATCTTTCTGATAAGGTAGGACAAAGAATCTTCTGTTTTGATAACAGGGATACAGTATGATCAATTCAATAGTTTATGTGATTTGTGTTCAGTTTGACAGGTATCTGACTTTATGAAGTCAGGAGTTCTTTTCTTTCACATCCTGTGTTCTTATGGAATAGGATAGAGTTAAACGAAGCGTAATATTCCTTAGTCATCAATTTCATATACTCATGCTAGATTATTGAAGAATAGTAAAGCTGCGTGCTAACGTTACATATTGCCTTATGTATATTGAGCATACTTACTATTCTGTTCCAGTGTTAATTTTTATTTCAGTATTGAATATGCCTTGGTTGCTTCTGAACTTGTTTTTAAATTGTTTTCCAATAGGAGATTCAGTGGATTAATGAAAAAGAACCTATCATTAAAATTGCAGCAATTGATAATGGTCTAGCTTTTCCTTTCAAGCATCCTGATGAGTGGAGAGCATGTGAGTTTTGAATGTGTGAGCTTCTCTTTCATGAGGCTTTAACTGATAATTATGCCTTTTGCTTATATATCTTGTAAAGTGCCACAAAGATAATGTTAAGATCTAGTGGGAGTGTCATCCTATTGCTTTTATTGAAGTTGGGAAGAATACAGCTTCATAGAATAGAAAACTCACCTGGTGATACCCACTCCTTTAGGAATTCCTAATGCCAAGATTGCTAGGATTCTTCTCTTGAATTTTTATCATTAGATAAAAATGTGATTATAACTTTAAGGAAGTTATACAAAAAATGTTTGTTTTCTTTATTAACTGACTGCTGGGCTTCTTGTTTTGATTATACTGCTTTATATTTAGATATTTGTATTTATATGTCAGTTTTAATAATCAAGCTAATAAAAATGTGACTTTGCAAGAAATGTTGAGTATTCAATTATGGAACAAGTTTGATAGTTGGACATGATGGAAAGTTAATGTTTTAGAAAAGATTATAAGGAAATTACTTCTCCTAACGTCAGTTAATTGAACATTACATCTGAAAAGTTAAATTCAACATGTTTATTTTGAAAGATTTCCCTTCACCTCCCTTTTTGTTTCTATCCTCTCCTAGATCCATTCCACTGGGCTTGGCTTCCACAAGCAAAGGTCCCTTTTTCTCAAGAGACAATAGATTTGATACTTCCTCGTATTTCTGACATGAATTTTGTGCAGGATCTCTGTGAAGATCTTTATGAACTTTTTAAGGTAATGTCAAAAGTAATTTGGGCAAAACTGTTTAACGTGGCATGGTAGTTGGCAGTAAAGTGCCACATTTGTTCTTCTGAACTGCAAATACAGTGAAATGTCAAAATAAGGCTAATTGGACCCTCCGCAAAAATTTTAATGGTTCAGTATAGCTTTTTGCATATTATTTTAAATCTGGTTATTTATAGGTGGATCTGATTTGAATTATGAAAGTTTCTCAAATCAATTTATTTTTCTTCCAATAAAGACTGACAAAGGGTTTGACAAAGCTACATTTGAAAACCAAATATCTGTGATGAGAGGACAGGTAAGGATATTTCCTCTTGGATGGTATGTTTTAAATATATATTTTGGCATTTTATACTTGTACCAGTTTCTTTTGAGTTAAAAGGCCTAAATATAGAATCCAGTTTTCTTCCTTCTGAAGAAAAAAATAAGTGATTCTATCCCCAAAACTAGGAGGGTGCAGTTTATTCTCACTTCTGCAGTTCTCTCAAAATCAGCTTTGGAGGGTCATGTACCCCCAAAGAACCTGTCTGTGGAGAGATACAGGGAAAATAGATGGTCTCATGACAGTTTCCTTCAGCAGTAAAAGAGGAGCATTGTTTCCATCCTAAATCTGAAAACCTTCATAAATATAAAATGCAGGTAGTCTTCACTTACCAACCACAATGGGGACCAGCAACTCCATCGCTAAGTGAGGTGGTCAGAAAATGAAATGTCACATTGCATCCAACTTACAGCATCAGTTCTGGCTGCAGTCATTAAGCACAGCATCACGTGAACATGACTTGTGACTTCCTGCCAGCTTCCCCCTGACTTTGCTTGTCAGAAGCCAGCTGTGAAGGTCGCAAATTGTGATTACATGACTGTGGGGACAGTGTGATGGTTGCAAGTTTGAGGACCATCTGTAAATCTCCTTTTTCAGCACCATCATAACTTCGAACAGTCACTGAACAAGCAGTTGGTAAGTGAGGACTACCTGTATAGGACTCTATTGTAAATTACATTGCATAAAATTAGAACTGGTAGGTATTATCATCAATAAAGCCAAGTAACTAATAATAAAATGTTCTGGAGATTAATGCTCTCCTAGACCTGCAGAATAGATTTTTGACTGGGCTGACTGTCTTGTAGAGGATTTAGCAACCCTCACTATTCACTCAGCTTCGGATGATTATAAAGAATGGTAGAGCTAAGCTTATTTGGTGTGAGGGTTAGCTTTACAGTGATTTTTATGGTTAGTGGTAGTCCTGAAGTCATCTTATAGTGGAAATTGCTTTCTAGGATAATGTGTAGAAAAGGTTATTTTGCCATTGAAATGAAGATGGGATTGGGCTTCTTGAGTCCTATGGTATGGCATGGCATGGCATGGCATGGTATGGTATGGTGTATGGTATGGTGTATGGTATGGTATGATATGGTAGGGTAGGGTAGGGTAGGGTAGAGTAGAGTTGAAGATTTCTCAGTGAGTTTTTATGTTTGGTGGTAGTCTTGTGTCTGTGTTACTATAGGGCATGCATATCACCAGGATCACTTTTAGGACAGACGGTTTCTACCGGCAGTAGGGCTAAGCTAAAGTACTAATCTCTATCTTAGCATCATTCATTTTCAATATTTGCAGATACTTAACCTTACTCAGGCATTAAAAGATGAAAGAAGTCCTCTTCAGCTTGTCCAGATGCCTCGTGTGATTGTGGAAAGAAGTCATGGTGGAAGTCAAGGAAGGATCGTTCCCTTGAGCAATGCATTTACACAGACTTTCCATAGCCGGAAGCCTTTTTTTTCCTCCTGGTAAAAGACAAGTAAAGATCTTTAGTTTAGCAAGATGTTCCACTATGTAAAGATTTCCGAATAATTTTTCTGTGCCCCCAAATGCTGGACTGCCAAAACTTCAGAAGTTTTATATTTTGAATGTACTAAGTTTACAGTTCATTTAAAATTGTGAAATTTTACATCAGGGAAATGAGGAGCTTGTCCTAAACTGTATTTTTATAAATGGTACGATGTTTTCTGTATTTAATTTTTGAAAGGGGGGAAAAAAAGAAAAGTTTACAGATGCCAAAGACTACTTTTGACTCAATTGGAAAAAAAAATATTCTGTTGCATACAATATCAGAAATTATAGTCTAATTTTATAGATAGAATTGAAATACCAGGCCTTTTATTCCATTGCATAGTTGTCTCTCAGTCATCTTAAACTGGTATATGGGACCAATACCACTATGTCTGCATTTGGAAAATAAAGGGCTTGGAGGTGGGTTAAAGTCATGTTGGTAGTCCAGAGGAAACATAATTATGTCATATTTCTCACACCCTGTTTGCATTGAATGCAGGCAGTTCTAAGGGCAAGCTAGCACATGTCCCACTGCATGTTGCTTGTTTTGGGAAAGGAACAAGTACTGGCCAGTGCCTCTTCACCACTGTTGCGTGCCTAACAATGCACAGCCTGTGTCTGCATTTTTAGATATGGGCTCCGTCCATACTAAAAGGGAATTGAACATTGTTCGTTTACAAACGTGTGGATTTTTCTTGGGGGTGCACAGTTTTAGGAGTACAGTTCCAGGTTTCCATTCCTCTCTCTTCAGTCCTTTTTTCTGTGTAAAAACTGAGCCAGTTACAGATGACTTTGTTGCTGCTTAAAGATATCCTTTTGAAGAAAATAAAAGGCACCGTTAACATCGTTTTACTTAGTACTGAGAAGTAAAATATTCCAAGAATTTTTGATGTTCTGGACCAAGAACTGGATGAGGGTAATGCTACAAAAAATGAACATAGGTTGATCTTTGTGGGATTATATGTATTCATAAACATATGCTGCAGACTTGTGATTCTTTTGTCAGGATGATGAATTGAGAAAATACTGTATTTGTTAGAACAATATCGCTGCTGCAATTTTGTCCTAGTATTGAGGTTTTGAAACTTTTACCAAAGCCAATTAAATTCACTAAAACCAAAGTAGACAGTTTACTGGTATGTTAGATACCTCTTCCTGACATCACTATCTTGTTTGAACCACTCAGACTTGCAGTAGGTCAGAAATTTGCAAATGAGTTCACTTTGCAAATGATCAGCTGTTCTGATCATTTCATGTCAGGTGATTCCTCAACAGTTCTGAACTATTCGCTTTAGCTGATCAGTTGCAAGAATAACTATCTTTACAGGAGTAATTTTCCACTTGTTTCAAATCCAGTACAACACTTCAGGGTGTGAAGCTAAAATAGTCTGTGTCAAAAATGTTTTTTGTCAAAGTTGTGCCTAGCATTTTCCGAAATGCTGTTTCTTTAAATGCAGAGCAATATTCCCAACTTTCTTGCATTGCTGTTCCTTTTAATGTCTCATAGAGTTTGGTAAACCAATGTAGCCTGTTGGACTAATTTACTTGATCTACTAAAATGTATAAGCCTTAATATTGAAAATTTTCTGTCTTGCAGGTTTATAAATTTATAGTGATTTCAGTTTTTATCAATTCCTGTAAATTATTTAAAAACAAAAGATGGTGTACTTTGCTCTCTCAAAACAATAAACACCATGGTCTCTGCTGCAGATCTGCCACAATTGCCTGGTTACATTTAGTTTATTGTTGGAAAAAAACATCTGTAACAGAGAACCTTGACTTACAAGTTCTCTCCCCCTTCTTAAGATGAGGTTCATTTTACTCATTAATATTTTTTAATGCTGCTGTGTCTTCCAAGTTCCTAGCACTTGCTATAACAAGACAACACTTTTAGCCAGTGTGATCGTTTTTCATTAAAGTGATTTGCTTCAATTAAAAATCTTGAGTTTCTGATCTTTTAACACTAATCATAGTTTAACCCAAAATGCACTGCATTGCAAAAATAAGCTCTGAAAAGGTCACCAAATTAACAGTACTTGGTATAAAAAAGAGTAGCATGCCTTCCGGTGAAATGATTGAAAAACTTACTCCAAAGCAATGCTGCTGAATGTGAGTTGAGTTTTACAGACTACAACAGTCATTTGAGGAACACTCAGAACAGAGCTGTTATTCTTTCTTTACTTCATCCAAACCTTGGGGGGATCCTGATGTAATCTCCAATTACATCAACCTCTGATTTGCATCTTATTACCATCCAGAGTAACTGAACGAAGACATTAGCTGAATGTAGCCCATCCTCTTCCCTGGTGAAAAATCCCCTGACCTCAGGAAATCTCTGAAAAAGCTGCAAAATTGTGTCCCATTGCAGTTGATTCATGGATAGCCCAGAATAGATTTGAGCATTTATGTGTCTTTGGAAGTCTGATTCTTGTCTTAGGTTAAATTACCTTTACGGAGCCCAGTGTTTTTCAAACGTGGCAACTTTAAGATGTGTGGACTTCAACTCCCAGAATTCCATGCTGGCTGGGGAGTTCTGGGAGTTGAAGTCAACACATCTTAAAAGTTGCTAAATTTGAATAAAACATGTTTTGATGACCAACGAACAAATAAATAAACCTTAACTGATAATAACCAATCCTATGAAATAAATATTGACACTTGGTATTTCCTGGAATGCCAGCAGGTTATTGAAAGAAAAAGTAACCGCATTGTTTTCTTTTCAAAATCAGATTAAAAACTTGCGCTAGATAGAAAGCGGGCAGCCCCAGTCCAGCCATTTCCGAGCAGCGCGTCCCGCCATCGTCCTTCCGCTATTAAAGCGGGGAGTTCTACACGCAGACGACAGTCTAGAGATTCCGACGGAAACCGGAAGCGGGGGGGCGAGGCGTCTGTGGCAGCCTATGGGTGATTTCCTAGAGATAGGAAAAGGGAAGAGGAGTACCTCTGAGTGGCCTTGCGGCAAGGAAGCGGAAGAGTCGGTTTCCTGAGGCGGGCGATAAAGGAGGGCGCGCCGAGATGGAGGCGGCTTCGCAGGCGGCCGGGGTGGTGGTGCTGGAACGCGGCTCCCCCCCAACGCCGGCGCCCGAGTGTCCGCATGGTGAGTCAGGGCGGGGAGCAGCGAGCCGGGGAGGGATTTGATTGGTCGGCTGTCTTTCTGTCCCGCCTCCTTGCACAACACCCTGCGAGGTAGGCAAGAGAGAGCTTGAGAGGAGCCCTGAGCACTGCATTGCCTGAAGGTGGACATCTTGCGCTTGCTTGCTCACCAGAATTTTTTCATTTGATGCCTTATTTTAAATTCAGCCCGGGGAAGTCCAGCGGGGGAGATTAGCAGGCTACCCAAAGCAAATACGATTGCAAACGTTCATCCACTGACATCACATCAGTGCTTTTCTGTTGCATCCTCTCAGTTTTCTTACCGAGGCTAAAAGGGTTTGGAGAAGGGTTGGTTCTGCCCACTGTTCTGGCAACCCCGTGGGGGTTTCTAGGGGATAAGGCCACGTTTCCCAGCATTGGAGCCTTCTCCAGATAATTAGGACTTCCCATAATGTGTCCAAAGTAGGATTATTTGAGCCTGGTTACTTGTGCCTCGAGTGAGAACTCTGGATGGATTTGTTCGATGATCCATCGGTTTGTTTTCTTGGCTGTCCGTGGATTCTCAGGAGTCTTCTCCAACACCAAAGTTCAAAAGCATCAATACTCGTCCTATCCTACTTCTCCAAAGTCCAACTTAACGTTTCCATAGGCTTGCACAATTCTGATCTTTGTAGGTAGAGACACATCACAGCATTTGAATATCTTTTCCAAGGCTGCTCTGCCAAGTGCTAATCTGTGGTGCATTTCTTGACTTCTAGTTCCTTTACTGTTGATGGTTGATCCTAACAGGCAGAAGCTCACCACCACTCTGACATTTTCATTCTCCTACATACCCGATGCTAATTTAAGAGCCACTTTGCTTTGAAAGGGCATAACAAAAGCATGTCACCTCTTAGCCCAAAGCAACGAGAGAGAGAGCATCTAAAATCCCAACCATAACTGCACGTGTGCTAGCCTCAGCTGTGCAGGTGCTAGCTGAATTTTGGGTTGCATTAAACGCGACCTGGTATCAATTTGCAATTCACACTAAATTGACTCTTGACTTATTTGAACTTGCACTAATCCCAACCTACCTGTCCATTCCTTGTAAGTCTGTCCATCTTCTCTCTGAGCTGTTGTTCTTCTCACCCATAGATCCCCCAAGTTGTATTATCCAGGGGTAAGGTGTGCTTTTTACGCATTTAATCTTTTACCAGGATGTTTTTAAACCAGGATCACTATCCTGAGACTTTGTCACCAAATTCGATTCCAAAAAAGTGCTTTACTGCATGCAGGGACAAAAATGTAGCTCCTGTCTGCTACTCTTTAAAGCAGTCACATCATTTTCTGGAATCAGGTGGCAGCTGCAGAGAGAGAAAAGATGCGGCTGCTTTAAAGAGTTGCAGACAGGAGTTGCATTCATGGCCCTGTGTGCACTCAAATACCTTTTTGGAATCGCATTCAAAACACCGGCTTTAATGGGAGCTACTTTAGACTTATTTTATTCCTTAATTCCTTTGGAAATGATTTGATTACAAATGCCAAACATCTGAGTTGACTAGTATAATTAATTGTTGCAATAATGTTATTGTCTGCAGTTCCACATTTCTGATTAGTTTTACTCTGGTAGGTCCTACTCTTCTGTTTACAAAGATTCTTCAAGGGAAAGAAAAGGGAAGAAGGTTTTATGCTTGTTCTGCTTGTAGAGAAAGAAAAGACTGTAATTTTTTTCAGTGGGAAGATGAAAAGGTAAGTCAAAACAATAGCGGCTTTAGCAGAATTATTCTTCCTTTTCATCTAAAGGGAAGGGCTGATCATGAGTGTTCTTTACTTACGCAAATTGCAATGGAGGAATTATTCATACACTTGAATTGCTGTTTTAAGTGGGATTGTTTTAATAATTTATGCAATTCTGGTAATTCTTCCTCCTTTCAGAATAGTTAAAAGGGTAACCTCATCAAGGAAACATCCTGGAAACATCCTGGAATTTTTCCAGGATGATTGGAATTAATGCTTAGAATTAGGTGCTTACAGAAAAGCTAGATGCCTGCCAATTATTTTTCAAAAAACACAAGCTAATTACCAAAAGAAAAAAGGGAAAGTGATCTGAAGAGCTGAGAAAAGATTGCTGGACCGGAAAACCTAGGGAGAGATTTGGAGCACCTAAGAAATGGATGGATTTATTATCATATGTTTTCATGGATCCCAGTCCACATATAAGATGCATGGAATACAGTTTGAGAAAGGAATATTTTCCTTATGTTGAAGCAATGATTAATCAGAATCAGAGGGAAATATCTATACATTATTGACAACAAAACAATAGGTGTGATACAGACATTCCTGTCTAAATGGGCTAGAGAACAGGGTGTCGAGTGTGCGATAAGAAAACTTCCTCTTGGTTTAATATGTGAGAAATGGTGAGAAATCTCCTAATGAATGTTAGCTAAGCTGTTAAATCAGTCTTTGTGATTCCTTTTTTAGAGAAGGAACATTTTGTTAAATAAAATAAGGAACGTCCTCTTCCTGCAGATTTGTAATCTAAATTCTAGTAGAGAGCAAAAAAAGAAGGAAAGGAAAAGCAAAGGTGTAAAGATGTGCATATTTCAATATATGTCCCAGTTTAAAAACAAAATAATTTTAAAAAGGATTTAACAGTTATTCCAAAAAAGGGGGGAGGGGGGGAATCGAGATATACAGAACTGAAGCTTTAAGGTAGAAGTGATTTTTTTTCTTTCTGAAACAAAAATTCATACCAAAAAATCAACTTTCAGTTGATTTAATCCTTGAAAACCATACCAGTTGTTCATTTTCATTTACAGCCATTTTTCCTGTACATGTTCCTTAGATATCAGAAGCTCGACTTTCAGCACGGAAAAAATACAACCAGAGTCATCAACCATCTAAAACTCATTCAGACAATGTGAAAAGGTATGGTTTTGGTTCAAATGCTTATTTTGTTTTCATTAATCAGTTGAAAATTAGGTATGTTTTCATTGATTAGGCTGTTCAAGTTCGTGTAATAAATGACTGTGGACAATTAATTAAAAACTAAGAATTAAAAGAACACTTGTTCACTTCTTTTGGCTCAGTTTAGATGCTTTCTCCTTCTTTTGGCAAATGCCAAGTATTTTCCACATCATGGGTATAAATGTCTCATGATGCAGCCAATTCTACCTTTATCCACTGGACCTCCAAAAATCTTGTTATTGTTAAATGTCATTTTTACAAGCTTTCAGTATTAACTGTATTATAACCACATGCGTAGAGTTTGAAATGGAAGGAATCAGTAAAATGATATTTATATTATAAACTGCTCAGAGCCAAATAGCAGTGGTAGCCTATAAAATTATAAATAAAATAAATATATACATAAATAATGAGGACTGACCTGTGGATTTGTTATATATTTGTAGTTGATTAAAAAGGGACCTCTAAGCATTAGGATGTTGGTAAAATAAGCATTGTTGGTAATAGGTTTAATATAAAAAAAATCCTAAGATTGGTTATAATGTGCTTTCCTCGAAAAAAAAAAAAATCCAGGTTTGATGGCCTCTGGTATTTCAGATATAGTCACCCAAAATCAAAAGAAACCAGAATGCAATTCCCTGCATAATTACTTGAAATGGCAAAGTCACTGGAATTTACTTCTGTGTATATTTGCAGAGAATTAGGCCATATACTGTATGTATTTCTATTCTGTACAAAGCAAAAATTGATTCAGGCTTCATCAAAAAGGTTTTTCATTGCATCTGAAAGACTTGCTAAACAAACTAATGTTTTGATAAACTGGAAAATTAAATCATTAGAATGAGTTATGAATTCTGAATGTTTCCAAAACCAGCAATGGTCCTCAGCTTCATTGCCATTAATATAATTTTACTTGTAGTTTGATAAATGTTATTAAGTATTATTGGCTGAAATATGCAGTTTAGCCCTCCACCTTCACGTCATGGAAGAATTTCTGAGGTGATCCTTCTCAAACCAGGTTTCTGTCTCTGATTACAGTGTGAGATAAGTATTTCTATCAATAATCTAGCCAAAGATCAACCAGTCGTCAAAAGGGGAGTAAATCATATGTGGAAAAAAAAGAATCCTCATGGGGACCAAATGTGGAGTCCTTGGTGCTCTCTGAGCTTGGTTGTTTGCTTGCAGACATTTCATTATCCAACTAGGCAACAACATCAGCACCAACATCAGAATCATCATCAGACTTGCACTGATGTTGTTACTTAGTTGGGTAATGAAACATCTACAAGCAAACAACCAAGCTCAGAGAGCACCAAGGACTCCACAGTTCAACTCTGAGCTACAGATATTCTCCCCTCTTGGGGCCAAATGTTTTTGGAAGGGGGAAGGAAGAGCTACTGTTATAGCATAAACAGAAGACAGACCATTGCCCCAAAAGTTTACAATCTAAGTGGGTAGGCACATCAATGAAAGGCAGGAACATCAAGGCAATGCCATTATACCAATGACTTTTCTGATATAAGGTACAAGGATTTTATCACTCTACCACTATCAAAAAGGAAGTTTTGTCAAGAATGTCAACTGCTGCTGTTGGTACCTGAGTGGGAAAGACACTCTGGACATCCGGTACTTACTGATATCTCAGTTGCCCAGCTGAGAAGACCTAGCCAACTCCTTAGTCCTCTGGAGAACAAGAAGACAAATGCACAGTACCTCTTCACTGATAGAAGTTGCCACTTCCTGCTGGATCTTCTTATTGTGCAAGGTTTCAAAAGAGTGCTGTGTGTGGGCACTCCAAGGTAAGCCCCTTACTGCACCTTCTCCCAATAGTTTATCTAAACCAAGAGATGGGCTTTGGGCTTGAAATAAAATGGGGCCAAGGCTCTTGGCTTTGATTTCAATTAAAAAAATTATTTATTTTTTCTAAATCTAGATGTGGAAGAGAACCTCATTCCCTTCTCTTCTTAAACAATGAAGAAAGTGTTTTGAATGTTTCCCTAAAGTAAAAAAAAAAAAATGACTTAGTGTGAGATCTTATGGAGCCCTTGCCAATCAGAGCGGATAACAATGGGCTCAGAGACGAATTATGCACAGTCATATCATTATCCTTGTGGTCTGCTGTTATCAGCTTTGAGGGCACCTTCAGATGTTCCTGTAAAGGTCACAAATGTCTAGTATGTGCAGTGGAGGTCAAAACAGGGAAGCTGGTGGATACCATGTCATGATCTAAGCCCTGCTAAAAGGAATGGGACTTGGATCATGACACCGTCCCTGGCGTCTGAACATACTCAACTTTGAATCTGAGTCCCATTATAATTGCTTTGACTTGCTGCACTCCTTAGAGAATGCTTTTGGTACTGTTTCTGGAATGTGGACCTTCCCAGCTTAACACTTAATTGAATGCTTCAAAGACTGCCTCACCCATGAAGAGTTTCTCCATAGGTGGAAAACAGCACCTATTCTGCGTTTACACCTTTTTTATATATACATTCACTATTTGATATTTGATAGGAAACTTGCCATCATGGAGCTCATGATTTAATTTTAAACATAAGTCATTGCCTTTTTTTAACATACTAAAGGTGCATTCTTATTTTCACCAGCTGTTGTTACTTGCTTAAATATCATAATTTAAATGGTATGAGGTTAATAATTTTTCAGGCTTCATGAACTGATCAAGTTGGAAGCTTCACCCAAACAGAAGAACTTCATGAAGAGCCTTTTACTTGATATTGACTTCAGGTAGGGTTTTATTAAGGGATGATGCTGTCATCTCTTCACTGAGAGTTCTTTCTCTTTTCAAAAATGGTTTTATTTCCATGCTTCTCCACTGTGTCATCCCTATATGTAGATTCTCTCTTATTTCTACCCCTATAGATAGTTCTCTCAACTATTAATATGAATAAGTGATTTATTCTTAACTATAAAAGATCCTATATACATATCTTAGATTTATTTTTTTCAATGGCTGAGAATTCAAGAAACCTGTAGATTGAGTTGTGCTGGTGGCAGTGTGGCTTCTGACACCAGTTGGCCAAGTCATTGTGATCTGATGAATTGACCTTTGTTTAAGGAATATCAGAATATTGATGAAAGAAGAGGAAAGGTGCAGTCTTGTTGGCTGAAGTGTTATATGGGGTAGGGTGAAGACTAGAAGCAGATTGGGGGAGATGGGGCAAGAAATTGCTGGAAAGGGGCAGAAGGGGGGGGAAAGAGGAAGGGAAGGAAGGGAAGGGATGAAAGATGGAATGGGAGAGGAAGAGGAAGAGGAAGGGAGAGAGGGGAAGGGAAGAGGAAGGAGGTTAGGGAAGGAAGGAAAGGGAAAGAAGGGGAGGGGGAAGGGGAATAGGGAGGGAGG